AATGACGGTTTTACTTGTTTACCAAAGCGAAGGTTGATAAACGCGTTATAGGCATAGTAGAGAAGTACACATATTGTGTGTACGTGGTGGCATGTAATGTCCACTCTACTGATACTGAGAATCACAGTTGAGGGCGATAGTTGGGGCCATTGGATTGTGTGATTGGCTTGTTGGCTTCTTCACATTTCAGGTTGATAGTAGGAGCTATCAACTGGTGTGGATTAAGTTTGTTGGCCTACCTAATCAACTCATTTTGGCTTGTTCGCCAAAGTGAAGGTTTGAAATGGGCCGGATGGGATCTCAGTCCACTAGGAAAGCCAACGGGCTTTCCCGAGTTAATAGTGAGGGCTATTAACTTGAGTAAAATAGTGGGAGCATCGTTTAATAAAAGACTATATTAAATAATAATGAACTTTACAATGACTTTATCTTTTCTGCAATTTTAGATTCACCAAAATGAGCATAATGAACCTATGACCGATAATCGAGAAAGAAAACAGGTTGGATGGATCCAATTTCTCGGACTAATATTGTAATTTTCGGATTATACTCAAGTCGGAAAAGAAATTGTATATCCTTGAAAAGCCATACATGGCTGAGCCTGATCCTGATCCTGATCCTAATCCTGATGCCACTCAAGAAGTAAATGATACTTATCAAAAGTTTCTTGATGATGCTGATGGTGTTTAATGCTTGATGTTAGCATCGATGACACCAGTGCTGCAAAACCATCATGAGAATATGGACGCTGCTGCCATCATTCTACACCTTAAGGAGCTTTTCGAAGGAAATGCTCAACATGAGAGGTCAAAAGCACTGTTTGGGAGTCGTTTGACTGAGGGAGCCTAAGTTGGTCCTTATGTGCTCAAGATGATTGCTAATGTGCCGAATGCACCAAATTAATAACCTTACTAACCTAACTACTAAATTGTATATAGGGTGACCAAGGGTCGATCCCACAGGGAATGATTAAATTAAATCATATATTCTATGCCAATAACCACAACGAACGAAGACAATAGGAAAATAAAATAAAATCCTAAATAGTAAACACGACAGCAGAATAATGAAAGGGGTTGCAATCAATGCAATCTAAAGTGAAACAAATAAATCTCCAATGGTAGAAAATATCAAATTAAAAACAACCAGTTCTCGGTTCAAGATCCACCTAAACATGCATTGGACATGAACTTACCGTAACATTATTCTATCTCGTTATTATGGAATTATTGACCCTAGGAAACAACAAGCTCTGTTACCCGAATTTTCCCTTAATTGTCACTACTGAAATAAGCTCTTTAACTAGATCCTAACCCTTGAACAACCTAGAATAAGCTCTCTAAGTTTAATTCAATGGCAGCCTTAAGAATTAGGAAAATAGATCAATCCAAGCAACAATCACGCAAGATTGGATTATTTAACTTAGGTTATGTTATAAAAGGTGACAGACTGAAAACTTGTCCATAATCATCTATCACCATGTGTTACTCATTGAATAGAAAGAGGACAATTACGTATCACAATTCCTAATTCTAACAGTTAAAATTCCGATTAAACAATTTAGCAGACCATTACTAAATCACCCAAACAGAAAATTATAAACAATTAAAACAGAATAACATAAATAATTCCAATAAAAACTAGATTGAGAACAATGTTACTGAAGTAAAGTTACACAAATGACATGAATTCAGGCTTCAAAATCCCCTTGAACTGAAGAAGAAAGATCAGCCGCACATATTGATGTAGAAAATAAAAGAAAACCGAAAAAAACTAAACTCTACTGCCCTCCTCTGTTTAACGTAACAACTCATAAATAAATAATGTGTTTTTTCCTCAATTCTGCCAGGAATCACGGAAATTACTTTCCTAGATCTTTGCTAAACGATAGACTTCCAAAACTGTCAAAATCTTATCAGATCTGGAAAACAGAATTCGTAATCCAGCTTGCACCAGGATTCTCACAATGTAAAAGAACTTTTTCTGGGCTCGGTCACTTCATAAAGGTTGTAGTCCTGGATATGTAGATGAATTTGGGCTTTTGAATCACCTGCTTTCGATATTTGAAGCTCCAGTTAGGCCAATTCGAAGACTCGATACTCAGCCAGGAAATCCTTCCGCGACTAGGATTCCAGGTCCGGTTTTGCAATAACTAATGAGGGACCAAACGAACTTGGATTCTCGCCCATAATACCTTTCTGGGAGGCTTGATTCGTCTACTTTACTTCTTCTGAAGAACACTTTTGCAATCGAGAAATCTAACTACATGAAAAACCTGAAAAATGTAGCACTGGTCAGAATAACAAAAAATCTGGAATTTCCTAATCTTTTCTCAATTATTTCATAAAGTCTATCCAAGTATGCCAAACTTACAAAATAAACTCTAATCAACTCAACTAGGCATGAAACATAACAAAAAACATAATATGGAAGGAATAAAAATATATAAATTGCACTCTTATCAAATTCCCCCACACTTAGCTTTTGCACGTCCTCGGGCACACTAATTCAAACACTAAAAAAAAAACTACACTCCAGTCATATCAAGAACACCATCATGATGCATAAGCAACAATATTTAATCCATGCATATTCATACCTAACTTAGGAAGCAGCAAAATAAAATAAAGTAGAGTTAAGGACATTCATCTCTCTTCATTATTTTCCACATTTACTCTCAATCAGTCAATGCAAATAAGGAAACTAATCACAACCAATTCATGTACAACTCACCTCTCAACTTTTTCCTCAACTGTTTCTCATTACTACTACAAACTGGGTAGCAAACTAGAAATTTTTTTTTTTCTGCTTTGAAAAAAATGAGTGCATTTTATGCTCCATCTCATTTCATGGTTGTGTTTATGGGTGAGTGCGTTTTACACTCCATCTTGACTCATCACATACCTTTTTTTTTTTTTTTTTTTTGTTTTCCTATTTGCTTAAACCAAATTTAGGACTAGCTTAAGAGAAACAATTTTTTTTTTTCTTTTAAGGATTGTTATACACTCTTCAATCATGCTTCGTTACCAATTTCACACAACTTTCAAGACATATTGTTTCAAAACTACAAGATTTAATCTGATTAACTCTATTTTATGAATATTGCTAACATCCTAAGTCAAGGAATATGCTCAACAACAAAGTCAAGTTACTATCATGCATCACTAGACGTTCAAAGACATGACTTAAGGCATAAACCTTCCTAAAAACAAATTTTTTTTTTTTTTTTAGATTAACTAACATAACTAAAGCCTAACTTCTTCCCCACATTTAAAACTTACATTGTCCCTAATGTAAAACCCCAAATGTAGAGACAGGCACATAAAACAATAAAAAAAAAAATATTGGCAAATAAAAAAAAAAAAAAAAAACTAAATTCAAAGGAAAAGAAAATTAAATCTGAATTCTTGGGTTGCCTCCCAAGTAGCGCCTTTGGTTAAAGTCGTTAGCCCGACTCCATGGCATCAAAAATATTAAAATGAATTACTTCACCATCAAATTCCATCGTGAGGGTACCATCATGAACATCTAATTTGTCTGAGCTGTATTTAGGAATGGTCTTCCCAGTAAGATAGGTGCAGGATCAGGAGAAGAAGAATCATCCATATCCAAAACGTAGAAATCAATAGGAAACACTAACTCATTGACCTGCACAAGAACATCTTCAACTACCCCTTCAGGGTATGCATTAGTGCGATCAGCCAATTGGATAATAACACCAGTATCTTTCATAGGACCTAGATTTAATGAAGCATAAATAGATCGTGGCATAACATTAATCGAAGCTCCTAAGTTGAACATAGCTCTCTCAATTCTGGTGTTACCTATCTTTCAAGGAATTGTAAACATACCTGGATCCTTGCACTTGGGAGGAAGTTTTCTTCGGAAAATTGCTGACACATTTTCTCCCATTATTATCTTCTTGTCACCATTCAACTTCCGCTTATTGGTGCATAGCTCCTTAAGAAATTTTGCATACCTTGGCACTTGCTTAATTGCATCCAACAGAGGTATATTCACTTCCACCTTACGAAACATCTCCAAAATTTCCTTATCCTTCTCTTCTTTCTTTGACTTCGCGAATCTACTAGGAAAAGGTAAAGTATTAAACTGAAGTTGATTTGAAGGGTTAGGAATTACCTTTGATTCAGTTGTAGCCTCTTCTTTCTCAATTTCATCTTCAATCTCTGCTTCCTTTGCTACACTTGGAATGTTCAGCTTTGGTTCTTCCACTTTCTTGCCACTTCTTAGCGTCACTGCATTCATAATTGCCTTTGGATTCACCACTGTTTGAGAAGGCAACTTCCCTCCAACTTAAGCCTCTAAATGACTTATAGCAGTTGCCATTTGACCCATCTGATTCTCCAGACTTAGAATACTAGATCTTGTACCTTTTTTGAAACTGTTTGGTATTCAAACAAAGGGACTTAACTATATCTTCCAGGGATGAGTTTGAACTCTGTGATGCAGGTTGCTTCGGTTGAAAACCTTGTTGTTGTCTATTCTAGAACAAATATTGTCCAACTCTTACTTGTCTATTTCCTCTATAACTGAAATTCGAATGATCCCTCCAACCTAGATTGTACATGTTGGAGTAACGATCACACTGCCTCGCTGGTCCAGGAAAGTTTCTTGCTGCATTAACCTGCTCAGCCTTTTCCTTTTGAAGTGTTGGGCACATGTCCGTTTAGTGTCCCATTGTCAAACATATCCCATAAGCTTTTACCTATTGTGCATTCCCTACAGCCAACTGTCTAACAAGAGAGGTAAGATCAGATAGTTATTGTTCAAGGGAAGATGTACTTACCTCATTCACCCTTTTGGGTGTTGCATCATGTCTTGTACCAAACTGTTGAGACTTGGCAACCATGTTTGAGATTAACTGTTTGGCAGCTTTAGGAGTTTTTTCCACCAACGCACCTCCACTTGCTACATCTATCATGTTTCTTTCTATAGGCAGCAATCCTTCATAGAGATACTGAATTAACAACTGATCACTTATCTGATGGTGAGGACAGCTTGCACATAGCTTCTTGAATCGCTCCCAATATTCATACAATGTCTCCCCATTATATTGCCTTATACCACATATCTCTTTCTTGATGGTGGTAGCTCTGGAGGCTGGGAAATATCTTTTAAAAAAAGCCTTTTCATCTCATTCCATGTTGCGACTGTCCCCGATGGTAGATAATAGAGCCAATCCTTTGCATCATCCCCCATTGAAAAGGGAAAAGCTCGCAACTTAATTTGCTCCTCTGTTAGCCCTATCGGTTTCATGCTTGAACAGACTACCTGGAATTCTTTTAGATGTTTATTCAGATCTTCACCTGCACGACCACGAAATGTAGGCAACAAGTGAATTAGACCAGACTTAAGTTCAAAAGCAACATCTAAAGTAGGGTACTGAATACACAAAGGTTGCTGATTAAAATCAGGGGCAACCAACTCCTTTAATGTTCTACGAGTGGCCATCTCTTCTTCTATTTCTGAATCTGGACCACTGGATGAACTGTGGGATGCTGAACCAAGGGCTATATTGAGACGAGGAGATGAAGAACTTGCTTGATGTGCCTCTTTTCGCAACTTCCGTAAATTGCGTTCGATTTCTAGATCAAATTCCAACTCTCCTGTAGAATCGGATCGAGTCATAAACCACTAAAATCACCAAATTAAGCCTAAATAAATAAAAACTAATAAAAAAATAAAAAATGGAAAATGGAAACTTTTTTTTTTCTTGACAGAAACTAAAATAGGCCAAAAACAGTATTAAATGATCGAATTTGACGACGAGAGGATGGGGCTAGAATCCTGTCTAGTCTTGCTCATAATTTCGTTTTCTTCAAAACGGGTACTCGCAGCACCCCTAATTCAACTAAAATTTCTCTTATGAATAGTAGTACTATTCATTCGAAACAGTACTACTGTTCACAATTCTTTTTTCTCTTTTTTTTTTTTTCAAAACCTAAAAAAAAATCACAAAAAAACCACAATTGAACAATTGAAAAAAAAATTAAAAAAACACAACTAAACACTGATTAAATGAAATAACACAAAAACATAGAACATAAAAAATAATCGACAAAGAACATTCCTCGGCAACGGTGCCAAAATTTGGTAGCGTGCCAAATGCACCAAATTAATAACCTTACTAACCTACCTACTAAATTGTATATAGGGTGAGCAAGAGTCGATCCCACAAGGAATGATTCGATTAAATCCTATATTCTATGCCAATAACCACAACGAACGAAGACAATAGGAAAATAAAATAAAATCCTAAACAGTAAACACGATAGCAGAATAATGAAAGGGGTTGTAATCAATGCCATCTAAAGTAAAACAAATAAATCTCCAATGGTAGAAAATATCAAATTAAAAACAACCAGTTATTGGTTCAAGATCCACCTAAACATGCATTGGACACAAACTTACCGTAACATTATTCTATCTCGTTATTATGGAATTATTGACCCTAGGAAACAATAAGCTCTGTTACCAGAATTTTCCCTTAATTGTCACTACTGAAATAAGCTCTTCAACTAGATCCTAACCCTTGAACAACCTAGAATAAGCTCTCTAAGTTTAATTCAATGGCAGCCTTAAGAATTAGGAAAATAGATCAATTCAAGCAACAATCACGCAAGATCGGATTATTTAACTTAGGTTATGTTATTCAAGGTGACAGACTGAAAACTTGTCCGTAATCATCTATCACCATGTGTTACTCATGGAATAGAAAGAGGATAATTACGTATCACAATTCCTAATTCTAACAGTTAAAATTCCGATTAAACAATTTAGCAGACCATTACTAAATCACCCAAACAGAAAATTATAAACAATTAAAACAGAATAACATAAATAATTCCAATAAAAACTAGATTGAGAACAATGTTACTGAAGTAAAGTTACACAAATGACATGAATTCAGGCTTCAAAATCCCCTTGAACTGAAGAAGAAAGATCAGCCGCACATATTGATGTAGAAAATAAAAGAAAACCGAAAAAAACTAAACTCTACTGCCCTCCTCTGTTTAACGTAACAACTCATAAATAAATAATGTGTTTTTTCCTCAATTCTGCCAGGAATCACGGAAATTACTTTCCTAGATCTTTGCTAAACGATAGACTTCCAAAACTGTCAAAATCTTATCAGATCTGGAAAACAGAATTCGTAATCCAGCTTGCACCAGGATTCTCACAATGTAAAAGAACTTTTTCTGGGCTCGGTCACTTCATAAAGGTTGTAGTCCTGGATATGTAGATGAATTTGGGCTTTTGAATCACCTGCTTTCGATATTTGAAGCTCCAGTTAGGCCAATTCGAAGACTCGATACTCAGCCAGGAAATCCTTCCGCGACTAGGATTCCAGGTCCGGTTTTGCAATAACTAATGAGGGACCAAACGAACTTGGATTCTCGCCCATAATACCTTTCTGGGAGGCTTGATTCGTCTACTTTACTTCTTCTGAAGAACACTTTTGCAATCGAGAAATCTAACTACATGAAAAACCTGAAAAATGTAGCACTGGTCAGAATAACAAAAAATCTGGAATTTCCTAATCTTTTCTCAATTATTTCATAAAGTCTATCCAAGTATGCCAAACTTACAAAATAAACTCTAATCAACTCAACTAGGCATGAAACATAACAAAAAACATAATATGGAAGGAATAAAAATATATAAATTGCACTCTTATCAAATTCCCCCACACTTAGCTTTTGCACGTCCTCGGGCACACTAATTCAAACACTAAAAAAAAAACTACACTCCAGTCATATCAAGAACACCATCATGATGCATAAGCAACAATATTTAATCCATGCATATTCATACCTAACTTAGGAAGCAGCAAAATAAAATAAAGTAGAGTTAAGGACATTCATCTCTCTTCATTATTTTCCACATTTACTCTCAATCAGTCAATGCAAATAAGGAAACTAATCACAACCAATTCATGTACAACTCACCTCTCAACTTTTTCCTCAACTGTTTCTCATTACTACTACAAACTGGGTAGCAAACTAGAAATTTTTTTTTTTCTGCTTTGAAAAAAATGAGTGCATTTTATGCTCCATCTCATTTCATGGTTGTGTTTATGGGTGAGTGCGTTTTACACTCCATCTTGACTCATCACATACCTTTTTTTTTTTTTTTTTTTTTTTTCCTATTTGCTTAAACCCAATTAGGACTAGCTTAAGAGAAACAATTTTTTTTTTCTTTTAAGGATTGTTATACACTCTTCAATATGCTTCGTTACCAAGTTCACACAACTATCAAGACATATTGTTTCAAAACTAAAGATTTAAATCTGATAACTCTATTTTATGAAATATTGCTAACATCCTAAGTCAAGGAATATGCTCAAAAACAAAGTCAAGTTACTATCATGCATCACTAGACGTTCAAAGACATGACTTAAGGCATAAACCTTCCTAAAAACAAAATTTTTTTTTTTTTTTAGATTAACATAAAAATAACTAAAGCCTAACTTCTTCCCCACATTTAAAACTTACATTGTCCCTAATGTAAAACCCCAAATGTAGAGACAGGCACATAAAACAAATAAAAAAAAAAAAATATGGCAAATAAAAAAAAAAAAAAAAACTAAATTCAAAGGAAAAGAAAAATAAATCTGAATCTTGGGTTTCCTCCCAAGTAGCGCCTTTGGTTAAAGTCGTTAGCCCGACTCCATGGCATCAAAAATATTAAAATGAATTACTTCACCATCAAATTCCATCGTGAGGGTACCATCATGAACATCTAATTTGTCTGAGCTGTATTTAGGAATGGTCTTCCCAGTAAGATAGGTGCAGGATCAGGAGAAGAAGAATCATCCATATCCAAAACGTAGAAACAATAGGCACATAACTCATTGACCTGCACAAGAACATCTTCAACTACCCCTTCAGGGTATGCATTAGTGCGATCAGCCAATTGGATAATAACACCAGTATCTTTCATAGGACTAGATTTAATGAGCATAAAAGAATCGTGGCATAACATTAACGAAGCTCCTAAGTTGAACATAGCTCTCTCAATTCTGGTGTTACCTATTTCAAGGAATTGTAAACATACCTGGATCCTTGCACTTGGGAGGAAGTTTTCTTCGGAAATGCTGACACAATCTTCCCATTATATCTTCTTGTCACCATTCAACTTCCGCTATTGGTGCAAGCCTAAGAAATTGCATACTTGGCACTTGCTTAATTGCATCCAACAGAGGTATATTCACTTCCACCTTACGAAACATCTCCCAAATTTCCTTATCCTTCTCTTCTTCTTTGACTTCGCGAATCTACTAGGAAAAGGTAAAGTATTAAACTGAAGTTGATTTGAAGGGTTAGGAATTACTTTGATTCAGGTGAGCCTCTTCTTTCTCCATTTCATCTTCATCTCTGCTTCCTTTGCTACACTTGGAATGTTCAGCTTGGTTCTTCCACTTTCTTGCCACTTCTTAGCGTCACTGCCTTCATAATTGCCTTTGGATTCACCACTGTTTGAGAAGGCAACTTCCCTCCAACTTAAGCCTTAAATGACTTATAGCAGTTGCCATTTGACCCATCTGATTCTCCAGACTTAGAATACTAGTCTTGTACCTTTTTGAAACTGTTTGGTATTCAAACAAAGGGACTTAACTATATCTTAGGGATGAGTTTGAACTCTGTGATGCAGGTTGCTCGGTTGAAAACCTTGTTGTTGTTATCTAGAACAAATATTGTCCAACTCTTACTTGTCTATTTCCTCTATAACTGAAATTCGAATGATCCCTCCAACCTAGATTGTACATGTTGGAGTAACGATCACACTGCCTCGCTGGTCCAGGAAAGTTTCTTGCTGCATTAACCTGCTCAGCCTTTTCCTTTTGAAGTGTTGGGCACATGTCCGTTTAGTGTCCCATTGTCAAACATACCCATAAGCTTTTACCTATGTTGCATTCCCTACAGCCAACTGTCTAACAAGAGAGGTAAGATCAGATAGTTATTGTTCAAGGGAAGATGTACTTACCTCATTCACCTTTTGGGTGTGCATCATGTCTTGTACCAAACTGTTGAGACTTGGCAACCATGTTTGAGATAAATGTTTGGCAGCTTTAGGAGTTTTTTC